AATATTAAAAAACTTAAATTTCTTGTCTGTTAAATATTAAAATATTAATTATCTCCAGGCATGTTTTTCTTTGTTCCTTCTTTATTTTTTATCTTAACAGTAGGTGTGGCAGATTTGTGATCAAAGGATTATTTTGTAACAGATGATGAATATTAATTATATATTTGATAATACATCGCCATGGAGCAGTAGTTAATAGGTTAGTCTTACAGAGTATTTCTATAATAGTGTACTCAATCCTCTTTGGGTTATGCTACATTTTTGGTGATGTGTTCAATCAAACTTTATAAATCTGCAGAATGTCTCTTTATGTAGTAGCAATTAACAAAACATCCCATAGACGTTTACTGCTTTATTGGATTCAATCCTCATAAGGGGCACCAAATTTGTAGCTTTGTGACACATTAAACACAGTGACAGTAGAATGAATACTGAATTGGTGTTTAATTTCAAATAATGTGTTTTTTAGAATAGGTGCCTTTTACCTTTAAGCAGTTTGCTGACGTTTTTTATTCTTGGGCATGATTACTTTGGAATAATCTATTAGAGCTTGTAAGAAATGTTTAAAATAAAAAGAAACTGAATACTTTTTTTTATTTTGTACAGAAAGGCAGCTAACCTGTTATTTTAAGAAAAATATATAAAAGGTTAAAATTTAAAAAAAAAATCTTTTGGAACAAGGGAAGTAACTATTGTATAATTCTTACTGCCAACCCTCTGGAATTGAATGTTGTTTATTTATGAGTGTATTATCACAATTCAACTTTTCCACAATAATTTTATGGTAAATGGCACTTGTTTATATATATATATATATATATATATATATATATATACACACACACACATATGCACACATGCATATATATTAGATAAAAGGGAAAAGCATTGGTTAGGATTAGTTTTCTTTTTGTTTTTATTCATATGTCCTTTTACAGATATATTTTTTGTTATATCTGAAATTTTACACACACACAAATATATATATAGAGAGAGAGAGAAAAGGAAAATTTATCTTAGCCAATGTCAGCTAGGATAAGTTTTCTTTTGTCTATTCACATTGTCCTTTTACATCTATCTATCTATCTATATATATATATATATATATATATATATATATATATATATATATATGTATTATAATTATTTTCGAATAAATAATTATATATATATATAATTCTGTATTTGGGCAGCAATCCCTCTTTTATACAAGTCTCATTAAAGGTATTGCGTTTAAGCTTTTCATTCAATTTTTCATCTGTTCTCATAAGTGATTTGTTTTTTAAGTGTGTAAAATTTGTGCAAATATTCTGTATATCTAAGTGCTTCCAGCTATTCTTTTAGTCATTATCATAATTTTACACAGTTTATGTCCAGAAAAGAAAATACTTATACAAACACAAGAACAACTGAATAAAAAGCTTATTTGGAGTTCCTCATCGGCCATCTTTAATGAAAATATATATATATATATATATATATATATATATATATATATATATAGGCAGCATATTTTCATTCAAACAGGTTTGTTTAAATAATTTAGGCATATCATGTCAATTAGTTTTTGTTGTGATCCTTTCAAGTCCATGGATTAATTTCTTGGTAGATTTAGAAAATTGAGTAATAGTTTTTATTTTCCCAAATACTTTCAATCTAGTTATGGTCTCAGATGAGATTGAAAGTAATTGGTAAAATAAAAACTATTCGAAAGAAAATTTTATTTTTCATACTCAATTTTCTAAGTCTACCAAAAAAATTAATCTGCGAACTTGATAGGATCACAACAAAAACTAATCAACATATGTCTAAATTTTTTAACCAAACCTGTTTGAATATATATATATATATATATATATATATATATATATATATATATATATATATATATATATATCTGAGATGAGGTATTGTAACTATTTGCATTATTTATATTGTTCTGACTATCCCCAGGGACTAAATAAAATGTTCAGCTTGAAATTACAATGTATATCACCTGAAGAAGGCCAGAGTGTACAATAACTGAAACATTGTGAATATGATAATAAAGATGAGAACAAAAGTTCAAACAATGTAAATAGTGTATATATATATATATATATATATATATATATATATATATATATATATATATATATTACAGGAATTTAGATAAGATAAAATAAAACCATTATTTTATCTTATCTTTTACCTAGAACAATTTGAAAATCCTTGCCAATTTTGTAAGGTGAAATGATCATCACCATGGAGTAGTTTTAAATTCCTGTGTATCTAATTTATTTTGTTTTAATAAACACATCGAACTCTCTTTCTGGATCAGTTTTAATATTTTATATTATTAGGATTCACTTGGATTATATACCTACGGATGTTTACTTGTGTGTATGTGTATATATATATATATACATGTTTCATTAAATAATATAGACAAGTTTTTTTCTATTTATTTTATGTAAATTCTTTTCATATTGTCTGATAAGCTTAATAACATCATACATACTCATGCATACAACGACAAACTTATGATGTCATGAGCTGCGGTGAGATTTTCGCTTCCAGTGTCTCATATGCACAAGTTTGTCATTGCTTGGAAATCTTCCATGCAAACAAAAACAGACTATCATTATTTTTTTGTCTGTGTATTGGTTAATATATTGTAATGTAAAGCCGAAAGCTTAGACAGGATTAAAAAATATGTATCAATATGGTGACTTTCTTTTATCTTTTAATGATGATGTTATTAAGCTTATCAGACGATATGAAAAGATTTATCAGAAAATAAAGAAAAGAAAGCTATGGAGAACCATGAGTGCTTATCTTTTAAAGGTAGATAACATTTGAAAACAGAAAAAAAATGGTAAAATTAGAAAAAAATCTGAAATGTTTTAACTCTCTTCAAAAATTCATAAAATGGCAACAATATTCACTTGTTACATGTGACTTCTGAAGGTTATGATGAGAGGTTGTTTTTTTTTTAACTTTTTAAGAAAGTTTTTCTTTTTTATTAATTCAAAACATCTTTGATTCCAAATGATGATATCATGAAATATATTTGTTATCATTTATTGTGTTGAGCATTCCAATAAAGGAAATTGTAATTGATAATTTTAAAACTGTTGCCATAATGCTTTTGCAAATCTTATCCAGATCAACAGACTCCAGAAGAAGGCTACAGGGCACACTGGCTGAAACATGATGACAACAAAAATTATGAAAATATTAACCTGACTGTAAATAATAATAATATCTCTCCATCATAGGAATTCAGATGGACACATCATTTTGTTGGTTCTACTTATATGACAAAATATACTCAGTGAATCTTGCCTTGTGCCAATGTTGGTTTAGTCCTAAGAGATGAATTTTTTATTTTACTATTAACCTCATATCCACTTAACTTTGTACTTTCGTTTCACAACTTGGTTATTATAATAAGCATTTGGTTGCAAGAGAAAGGAATAAGGAGGATAAGATTTTGAACAACGTTTATTATCGGTATGTCATACAGAGATGTTAAAAAATGGATGGAATGTCCATTTCAGAGGCTGATTGTTAGCATGGCTGTCAGGTGTAACGGAAAGGCTGGGGGATCAACCTATTTCTTGTACTGACCTGGCCAAGTTCAAAGGATATAGTCAGTGCATGTGTGGTTGATTGAGGTCACAGTGGTAGGTTGTTTCATTAGTTGGTAGGCGTGTTCAATGGAATGGGGGTGACATCGGATTGTTGTGGTTTTTGTAGGCCTGTTCCATGGAACATGGCCGTGGTGATGACTGCAAAGAGAATGCCTTGTAAATGAGCTGAGTAGACTGAGGTGATGGCAGTGGTTTGCCCAGGTGACGAGGTGTTGTCAGATTTGTGTGGTTGGTAGGCCTGTTCTGTTGAATGAGGATACAGTGGTAACTGTGAAGGGAATTATAGACGAGTTGAGTAGGCTGAGGTGAAAGCGGTGGCTTGCCGAAGTGGTGTTGGTTTGGCATGATTAGTATTTGCCAGGGGTGACAGCATTGGCAATGATGAAGGCTTGTAGCTGGGAGGCATTGAAGTTGAGATGTTATCAAGTCGAAATTGGATAGCCAAGGTAGTTAGTCAAGCCTGGGAGTGGTAATGATCATTGAGAGGAGTAGTCACGTTGAGAGGCGGAGGTGATAGTCACAGTGGTGGTGACAGCAGCACCCTGCATGACAGACAGTTGTTTTCAGAGAACACTAGTCCCTAGAGGCATCTTTTTTTCGAGCGGGAACATTCGCGATTGGCCACTGCTAGAGCTGGTTTCATAGACCAAATGCATGGAGCCTAATGTGTAGAAAACGACATTTTTTTTTATTTCATTCTCTGCCTTCATAGCATTCACATCTGACCAGCCTGCAGAATGAATCAGAAAGAGATCTAATTGCAAGAATCGCTTTTCACTTGCAGCTACACTTGAATGCCTCAGAATGTGTCTACAAAAGACTCAGAAATTTCAAAGCAGATAAATTTTGATTTATTAATAAGCTTAAAAGTAGTTGAAAGAAAATCAATAAAATACATATTTTCTAAAATATAATCTTCCTTTCCAAGAACCACACTCCTTCCCAATGCGTTTAATTGTCATTGTGGCACATGAAATATTCAGTATTGCCATTACTAACAGAAACCAAAATTTCCAGCTTTGCAACTTTCTCCTCATTGGCTTAAAGTTCACGATGGAGCAGCTGTCAATTTATTTACATTATTTATAGTCAGACAAATCTCATCTTTGCTGTCAGAATCATAACGTTTCAGTAGTTATGCCCAGCAGCCTTCTTCAGATGTCTGTCTATGCAGGTAAGCATGAAATAATTTGAAGCTGAACCCATTTTTAATCTACAGGTTCTCATTCATGTCAAGGGATATCTTGTTCTTTTTTTATTACTGTCCATTTATTATTTGCCCTTTTTCCATTACTGCCCATTTATTATTTGCCCTTTTTCCATTACTGCCCAGTTATTATTTGCCCTTTTTCCATTGCTGCCCAGTTATTATTTGCCCTTTTTCCATTACTGCCCATTTATTATTTGCCCTGTTTCCATTACTGCCCAGTTATTATTTGCCCTTTTTCCATTGCTGCCCAGTTATTATTTGCCCTTTTTCCATTACTGCCCATTTATTATTTGCCCTGTTTCCATTACTGCCCAGTTATTATTTGCCCTGTTTCCATTACTGCCCATTTATTATTTGCCCTGTTTCTATTGCTGCCCAGTTATTATTTGCCCTTTTTCCATTACTGCCCATTTATTATTTGCCCTTTTTTCATTACTGCCCATTTATTATTTGCCCTTTTTCCATTACTGCCCACTTATTATTTGCCCTGTTTCCATTGCTGCCCAGTTATTATTTGCCCTTTTTCCATTACTGCCAATTTATTATTTGCCCTGTTTCCATTACTGCCCATTTATTATTTGCCCTGTTTCCATTACTGCCCATTTATTATTTGCCCTGTTTCCATTGCTGCCCCGTTATTATTTGCTCTTTTTCCATTACTGCCCATTTATTATTTGCCCTGTTTCCATTACTGCCCAGTTATTATTTGCCCTTTTTCCATTGCTGCCCAGTTATTATTTGCCCTGTTTCCATTACTGCCCAGTTATTATTTGCCCTTTTTCCATTACTGCCCAGTTATTATTTGCCCTTTTTCCATTACTGCCCAGTTATTATTTGCCCTTTTTCCATTACTGCCCAGTTATTATTTGCCCTGTTTCCATTACTGCCCAGTTATTATTTGCCCTTTTTTCCATTGCTGCCCAGTTATTATTTGCACTTTTTCCATTACTGCCCAGTTATTATTTGCCCTTTTTCCATTACTGCCCAGTTATTATTTGCCCTTTTTCCATTACTGCCCAGTTATTATTTGCCCTGTTTCCATTACTGCCCAGTTATTATTTGCCCTTTTTTCCATTACTGCCAAGTTATTATTTGCCTTTTTTCCATTACTGCCCAGTTATTATTTGCCCTTTTTCCATTACTGCCCAGTTATTATTTGCCCTTTTTCCATTACTGCCCAGTTATTATTTGCCCTGTTTCCATTACTGCCCAGTTATTATTTGCCCTTTTTCCATTGCTGCCCAGTTATTATTTGCACTTTTTTCCATTACTGCCAAGTTATTATTTGCCTTTTTTCCATTACTGCCCATTTATTATTTGCCCTTTTTCCATTACTGCCCAGTTATTATTTGCCCTTTTTTCATTGCTGCCCAGTTATTATTCCATCAAGTGTAAGATTCTTGATTCAGGACACTAGCCAGGAGATAAAAGTGTTGGTTCATGAATTTTGAGTTCAGTCCTTGGGCTGAACAGTGCAGACTCTGACTTAGTGGAAACAGACTGAACAATACTAAAAAAAGAATGAGACATACTTAGACATGGCCAGCAGCACAAATCAATACACTATAGTTTAAACAAAGAGTTCAGTTTGAAATTACCCAGATTAACAGACACTTGATGAATGCCAGAAGGAACAATGGCCAAAGCTTAATAATAACAAAAAAGATGAAAATATTAGCTTGATTGTAAATAATAATAATAATTTTCCATCATAGGAATTCGGATGGACACACCATTTTGTTGGATCTACTCATATGACAAAATATAGAACTGAGAAGGAAATTACTGCAGACATTCTGGATCTTGTGAACAATGACCTGCAAAAAAAAAAAAATTACAGATGCCATTTTATTCCTCACTTTCAGAAATACAAATGAAATAAGAAGTTATGGTGGTTCCAACTGCTTTATTGTGCATTCAGGTCCAATGATGCAACTTTTTAATGTATTAGAGTAAATAAAATCAAGTGGGAGGCTTTAATAAATCCCCCACCACTATTTAAAAAAAAACGTTTACCTAATTTAAAGTAAATTTTTCCAAAAGCTTATAAAAACATCTAATGAGCAAATTTAAGGCTATTGCTAAATCTTTAAGTCACTGAAGGAACCACAGTGTGCCTAGAACCACTGGTACCACTAACAGAAATTTTTACAAAAGAATTTTTAAAAATTTCAGTAAATCAACTACATTTTCATTTTTATCTTCACAGTACAGATAGAAATGATCTGACTAAAATGATAGAAAGAAATGATTTAACCAAAAGAATAAAAATGATCTGACTAAAAGGATAGAAAGAAAGAAATGATCTTTTATATATATATATATATATATATATATATTGTAGTTTAGCCAAAATCACTCAGAACTGAAAAACCTCTGGATAATTTTTACATTCATTAAGTCCAGAAAAGTAGACACTTGTACGTAAACAAGAAAAATGTAATAAAAAACTAAAGAAAATAAATTACTTTGTCAGTACAAATGTTCAATGAAACAAATACGCAACTAGAGAAGAGTATATTTTCAAAAAACAATTTTGAATTTTATGCATTCAACTTTTAACAACTGAAGTCAAGAAAATTTCTCTAAATCTTTCTGTGAAAAATTTTCATCCTAACTTATGAATTTTCAGATGGTGTAATAATGTTTAATTCACTAGAATTACTCTGACCTTTAACTCAGTATCACATTGTTTATTAATACTAGTTCTGTACTTGTTCACTGATGTGTAACATAATCAATTTTCAAATGTAAATTATTTGTCGGTTTAAAAGACTACATTTATTCGAAAATATATTCAGTTTAAATGCAGAAGGAGTTGTAAAAAATGACTTCAAAATACCTGCAAATTTTGGCTTATACTTTTTTGCATGGGTTATTTACACTATTTATATTTGGATTATTGTCCTCATCGTTTAAATAATGATAACTCCTCATCCTAAAACTACAGACAAAAATAACCAGGGGTTGTTGCTAGACAGAGCAGTTAGCCTTTATGGCACAGATGCCCATTTCAATTTAATTTAAATTATGTACTGTGGGCTTGAAAAGTTCAATAATTGTAATTATTGTTTTTATAATCGTTTGATTCTTTTTTTTTTTTTTTTTTTTTTTTTTAGAGTTTAAAACAATTTTTTTCTTCAAATTTATGCTTTTAGTTGCTGTCCAGATTGAGGGGGAGGAGATTCTCAAACTTCATCAAATTTATATATATATAAATGTACTTGTGTATATGTTGGTGGATGTGTAGGTGGTGTAATGGATAGAGGCCTTGGAAGGTGAATTCAGAGAGCCAAGTTCAAATTCTGGTGGAGTTCATTACATTCACTTATGCACATATACCCTTGGAAAAGGTATGAATTCATTTCTTCTCCCTTAGCTATAGGTTAAATAGTATGATTGTATCTGAAAAAATATCCTTATCTCACAAAAATTACTCGTACAATATTCACCCACAAAAAAATTAATTTACAATGCAATGTATGTTTTACCTTTAAATAACACACAATGGGTTGATAAACTGTAAAACAAATTAATCAAAACATGTATACATCAAATGTGCGTACCTCCACAGAAACGTGATACCTAAGATTTAAAATGATTTTTAAAAAAATGATAAATCTTTGTTGAAGCTTTTATTTTAGTTTTAAATTCAAGCTAATAAATTTATTATTTGCAATAAGCAAAATATTTCGTTGTATTTCAAAACTAATTTCAATTGACTGGAAGAAGTTTTTATTTTAAAATCACTGCTTTTAGCACCTTTTTTAGCCATCTTTCATCACAATACAATCCTCTTTATTAAAAAAAATCTTTGAAAAATAAAGTATACTATTCTGAAACTTTATTTCTAACAACCCAGTAATCTTAAAAATTTAAGAAAATATATTCTGTCATCTAATATTTCATTGAATTTTGGATAATTTGGCCTTAAATTTATTATAGTTATCACTCTTATTTTCTGTAAATATTGTGTATAGAGTTCAGTATTTACAAAAATTGGCACATTTATGCACACACCAAAAAATTTTTTAAATCTTTTATGAAATATTGAGTGGGGGCAGTCGAGGAATTGTAAGAAGCTTTTCTATTTATGATTAGTAAATATAGTTTTTAATTAATATCACCTCACCAGTACAAATTAATACAAAGGTTTAAAAGTTTTAAAACTTTATGAATTATTCTAATTAAAATATTAAAAAAATGAAAACAATTCTTGTAAAAATTCATTATTCATCCAAAAAAATTTTCTGAAGATAATAGTATCCATAATATATCTTATTCATAAAACCAATTAAAAGTTTTTCTAATTAATGTCCTAGTTTTCTTGCATTTTTTACTTTATAATTCAGGGTAGATTTTCAGTATTGATGGTGGGTGTGTCTGTTTTACAAAAAAAATTGATGATTTAAGTTCTCCAAGGACTTCTGCATATAACTAATATAAGCATTAAGTGGTACAAAAATGAATTTCCCAAAATTTCATAAAATTAAATATAGTTTTTGGCAGGGCTGGGCGGTAACAGAAGTAAAAAAAAAAACAATGTTTCTTCCAAGATTTTCTAAAAATTAAATTTCTAAAATAATTTAATTCATTTGTGAATAAGTCCTGAGAGGTTTATTAAAATCTGGCAATTGAATTTTGGAAGAATTTTTAAATCAATGTGTTTTGTTTTTTTTCGCTTTAAAAAAATGCTAAAATTTAATCTTTGGTTTTCTCCCTGATGCAAGAAAAACAAAATTTTTAACCAAAATTTTGAATGTTCTAAAAAGGATAAAAAGAAAAAATTTAATAATCAAAAAATCCTTTGGTCTTTCTTCATAATAACAAAGATTTTGACAATAAAATTTTGTTTTTATTAAGTTGGGGGCATTTTGATTATTATAACAACATAAAGTTAGCAACACATTTTAGTACAACACAGTTATCCTCAATGTTTCAGTGAAAATTCTAAAGAACAAACAAGGTTAAAAAAATATAAAGTTTGTTGTTAATTGAAATGGTGCATGATTAGTATTTGAAAGATGATAGATGGAAATAGTCTATGTTTAAAATATTTACTTACTCAGGTTGAGAAGTAGTAGGTATACTTGTAGCAAAATGGTGTATAATTTTACCAAGGAGCATTTTGCATTGGTCAAAAGGGAACAACTCAATTTTTTTATATATTACAGCTGTCCTTCCTTCAGTTAAATTTCTTATGTAGTAGAAGCTTTTCTTCGTAAGCTGAGTCATAGAAATGTGTCATCAATGTTCTGAAAGCCAACTGCTAACTTGAGTTACGTTTGCATCCTTCTATGTCCAAGTCTCTCCTTTCTTTACGGTCTTCTGTTTTGTATCTATTTATATGCTGGTTTATTTTCTTGCACCAGCTTGTGAATTTCTTTATTTTTTTTCTCTAATTTCCCAAAAGCGATGCTTCTCAGTGGTTGAATATTTATTTCTAACATGGGCTCAAGAATTTCTTTCTTTGTTTCTCTAGTTTCCCAAGGTGAGGCCTCTTATTGGTCAAATATTTACTTCACACCTAGTAGCAAACTTCTTTTCTTGAATTGGCGATTTTGCTAGCCAAACTAAGAAAGTTTTATTTTTATTTGTTGCTCTCTACAATAGTTATACTTATGGCATGAAAAAAAATTAAATATAAACACTGATAAAACATTTTGTGGTCTTCTTTCGAGATAAAAATTATTTTTTTCATACAGTTTGTACAATTGTCTTTCTTTTTTTTTTTTTTTGCTTAAAATATTTTTACCGAGTTTTTCTTATCATGGAGAAAGAAAATGAAGACAGCCAGCTGAAATTGTTATTATATAATGAAATTGTTATATATATATTATATTGTATAATTTTTGAAAGTTTAGAGAAAAAAAACTGGATAAATGCCCAACACCCCACTGAGTATGTTCACTGCATCCCCCACCACCACCTCACTGCAAATTAAATAAAAACTCCCAGTATCCCTCTCAACAGACCCCACAATGGTTTCTAGAGCCCACATTGGGAAATGCTGTCATAGACACACCCACTACTGCAATGGATGCAATACATGTGTTGTCCCCACAATCCTAATGGCACATTTTTACACCAGTAGCAAAATATTTTTTGACTGAGTGTAATTTATAGAATTTTCTAATTCTATATTCTGTTTTGAAATACTTAATAGAAGTCTCCATAGAGATTGGTGTTTTCAGTCCTTATTTCTGCCTGTGTGCTTGTCACACTTCCTCAGTTGCAACTTAATCTTTTTATTTTTTTAAATGCATCCTGTGAAGGGGTAGCAAGATTATTGACTTAAACATTGTCCTAAAATTCGGGAATAACAACAGATGGACCTTTTTTGTTATTCACCTAAAATGTTTTCCTTTTTCCATCTTACAGCTATGTGAAAATGA